AAACTACTAGAGGAGAAGTCGTCTCAGCATGGAACAGGGCTCAACTTCAAATATAATAAAGACACCTGGGTAGTTAGAGTTTTGAAGCAAAGGACATCAAGGGGACAGCAGATGAGTGTTAAGACTGAGCTGACACTGCTGACAAGTATGGAAGTTCAGATGTCAAGACAGAGATAAGACACCTTCTAAGCTGACAAGAGAGCAATTTTGCTAAAGTTGGCCTATGCAGGTGTAGCAAAGGGCCAAAGGTCAATGCCTAGAACAGAAGTGCCTTTAAAGAGTCCTGACCAGTTTAGCCAGAGTCTTATCAGTACTCAGTATTTTTCCATTTCCTCCTTTTGTACCTTAGATTTTTAGCTTAGTGTTTCCTGACTTTTGCTCATCTTGGGGTACACTTTTTCCAAAGAGGGATCTGAACTGGAACCTTCATATCTGCCCTTTGACTTGCTGTGAAGTTACCATGGTAACACAACTTCCTCTTTGGCTCTTGAAACTGTTTAGCTACACAATCGCATCTTCTCAGCTGCTTGGATTTGACCCTGTAGCCAAGGATGACTTTGAGCTAGGGATCCCCCTGCCTTCTCCTCCAACTGCTGGTATTTCAGGTGTACACCACCACACCTCAAGAGCCAGAGTTAGAAAACTAGCTCCTATTCACACAGGAAATGCAAAAAGGGAAGTAAACCAGGTTGCGTCTTTTCATAGTGACAGTGGCTTTCAGACCTTGGTGTCAAAACAGGGGCTGACCTTAGTTTGCTTTTCCCAGTGTTTCTGGGCTATAGCATAGTAGGACAGCTACTACCTGATTCCACAGTGCTTCTTTTTCCCTGATGACATATTCTCCCTGCTAAAGAGTTTGGGCTGAATTATGTAATCTCATTTCCTGTATTTTCGGATACTGACATCTACTCTTCCAGCTTTGACCTTAGCTTCTAGACTGCCATTAACAAGCCTTTCTTTAGTAATGTTTGAGATATATAAAATTCTCTCCTTTACAGTTGGGAGAGACTTTGATGTGGCCTATAAAATCTGTATCTCTATTTGCATTATCTAGTCCTCTGCTGGACCAACTCCATTCTGTGGTTTTTAACAAACGAGTTGTGGAGACATAGCCTGGGCCTTACCTACTGGAATTGCTTCCGCGTCCAAATTCCTGTCCTTTGTTGTAACGTTGTCTTTCTTTGGTGCCTGAAGTCTGCGCTGTCTGCAACCATACTGATGGTGGCTTCAGGCTTCTCATATTTCTTTTGAGCCTGTCATCACCAACTCTAATCTATTTTTCTTTTGCAAGCCCAAGAGCCAGTGTGCAATAATTACAAACAGGTCATACCAGTATCTTCACTGCTCTCACTCTTAGTAGTGTAAGCAGGAAGCGGTAGTGTCAGAAGAAATCCCAATACACATAGATGCATGCAAACGATATGATGACATACGGGCATAAATACACATGAGTGTGCATTCATGTGTGTGTGCACACTCATGTATATTTATGCATGCATTCATGTGCACACACATGAGCACAAGCACAAGCACGCATACACAAAATTTAGAGAGGGCTAGAGAGATAGCTGTGTGGTTAAGAGCACTGGCTGTTCTTTTAGAGCACCTGGGTTTAATTCCCAGCACCCACCTGGAAGCTCACATACTCAGTCCTGGGGGATCTGATGCTTTCTCTGGCTTCCTCAGGCACTAGACACAAATGTGGTACACATATACATGCAGGCAAAATAGCTATACACATCAAATTAAATCAGAATGAAGGAAAAACAAGTTCAGAAAAAGGATATAAAGAAAGAACAACAACAGAATGCTGGGATATTTGATACACTCTGATTTCCCTTTCCTGGAATAGACATCATGGCCCTCACCAGTGTCCCATGAAACTAGAAACTAGGGCATTACTCTCCATGACTAGGAAATCCTGACAAGGGTAGAAGGACCTTTGGCTCCAGTGATTCTGCCTTTTGAAATGTCCTGGGCTTTCCCAGTGAGGATCCCCCCAGTTAAGGCCAATTATTCTCCCAATAAAAGGGAGAGATCTCTCAAACCCATTATATATGGCCAGCATCACCCTTTTACTGAAACTGGACAAATTCACAAGAGAAAGCTCTAGACCAGTGTTTCTTCCTAATGCTGCGACCTTTAATATAGTTTCCCATGTTGTAAACTTAGTAGTTTACAACTTAGTAGTTTCCCCCCCCCATGTAAACTTATTTTTCTTGCTACTTCATAACTTTAATTTTGCTACTGTTCTGAATTGTAATGTAAATATCTGATATTCAGAATAGCTGATGTAAAACCCCTGTGGCAAGGGTTGTTCAACCCCCAAAGGGGTTGATTCCCACAAGTGGACCAATCTCCTTGATAAGTAGATGCCAAGACTCAGCAATATGTTATCAAATCAAATTCAGTAAAACTTCAAAAAGGAATGTAACAGGATCAAGTTGGTTCCATTTTAGGGATGCAAAAATGGTTCAGCACAGTACATCACATCAAATGAATGGACACAGTCCAGTCTCAATAGACATAGAAAAGGCATTTGTCAAAATCTAACATTCCTTTATGACAAAATCCACAGACAAATTAGGCATCGAAGGATCATACCTTACCATAATAAAGGCTATACCTAATACATGTATAACCAAAATTGTACCGAGTGTGAGGCAGGTTGAACTGAAATATATTTTAAAGGCCCCATCTGCTTGTGTGGAGCTCGCAGGACATGCCACATTAAGTTGCTAATAAATGTGATTGCCTCTAGAAGGGTTGTATGAGCAGTTAAACCCAGACACGGCACTCTTGAAACGCTAACAAGACAGCCTTCAAGCACAGGCTGGTTCATTTTCAGTTTCGCTCTTTTGAAGCTGTCTTCTAAGCGAGAGAAAGTGTGTTAGTTGTACAAAATCTTATTCACTGTGGCCAAATGAGAAGTCACTTTTCTCAGCTCAGAAGTTCGAAGATTGCCAAGAGCAATCGAGAACCAGTAAAGCAGTAATAAGATACCAAAGGCAGTTTAAGCTCTCCCAGGATCCCTGCTTCATGATTACCAGCACACGGCCTTTCGACTAGTGTTTGTTTGTTTGTTTTTTTTTAATATGATGGTCACCCGATTCACCGCAGGCATGCAAACTTATCAGAGTAGGAATGCAACAGAGACAGTTTCTACTTTGTGCAGTATGTAGAAAAATGAGGTACTTCCAGAAAAATTATTCAGAATGATGTTGGCATTTTGAGCCAAACCCCATTGTTGAGTTATGACCCTCTGTCCTAGTTTGCTTTCCGTTGCTGTGATAAACACCATGACCGAAAAGCATTCTGGATAAGAAAATCCTGACTTCATTTCACAGCTTACAGTCCATCACCCAGGGAAGACAAGGAAGAAGACTGGAGACCAACAGAAGCAGAGGCCAAAGAAAAATGCTGCTTGCTACTGTCTTGCTAAAGCTGCCTTCGTATATAACCAGGACGGCCCACTAGCAGGTGAGCCCACCTCCAGTCCCACCCACATCAATCATTAACGGAGAAAATGTCTCATGGACGTGCATACAGGCCACTCTGGTGAGGGCAATTCCTCAATTGAAGTTCCCTCTTTCCAGATGTCTCTAACTTGTGTCAACTGGCCTAAACTAACCAGTGCAATTTTCAAAAAGTTGGATCTCACTCTGAATGGGGAAGTTCCTTGCAGGTGCATTTGAGTTAAAAGGAGCCTAATTGGGTTGCTTTGCCCAGCATAACTGCTGTTCTCAGGAGTCCAGACACAGAGAGAGGGCCTTATGAAAGCAGACACTGGCAGAAGAGGTCATGAGATGATGAAGGCAGAGAACAGGCTTATTTACCAGAAGGCAAGTAATTGCAGCAGCAACTACAAGAGTCATGGAAGCATCCCTTTGAGGCCTTGGAAGGAACATAGTCTGGCCAAGACCTGGATTTTAGAGTTGCAGCCTCCAGAAATGTAAGCAAAAACATTTGTTGTTAGTCATTTAGTTTCTTGTTCTTTGGTATAGTAATTCTAGTAAGTGAATACTGTACTTAGTCCTGATTTGGAGGGTGAGGGTATCACTTCCTTATGTTAGAGAGGGTGATAACATAGCACAGGATCTACTTAGAAACACAGTTTTCTTGAGTGTCACTCAGGGAGGTTTATATATATAAAACATTACTATACCAGTACGGCAGAATTAGTGAAGGGTTGATCCAGAGATCTTTACAGCGCAGTGTTGAGGTTTTAAGATGAGACAATGTTTTCTCATTTATCTGCAAAAAACATTTTCTTGCTTTTAAATAACATGAACTTGCTTGACAGATGATATCACATTTGAAACTGAAATTATAGTCTATTTTAAAAAGGATGGTTAATAACTGCTAGAAGTTTTAACATATAGTTTAGTATTAAAATAGGAGAGGAATTGTTATGCCAAGGCAACATATGAGTTGTTGCCATTAAACACAAGGTATAAAAATCATAAAACTGTTAAGATATAGTCCTTGTTAGAATGCAAGAGCATATCCTGTCAAGGGGAGGAGGGGAGAATTTAAGGATGTGGGAAAAGAATTTTAAGGAACAAAATACCAAACCAAAACCAACAACCATGAAAGAATAAAGGTTCCAGACAGAGAGAAGGGGGGAAAAAAGTACAGTTCCTACAGAGGGAAGAATTTAAGAAGGGGTGGGGTGGGGGTCAGTGGTGGAGCACTTGCTAACTATGCTGGGTCTGATGGCACAGAAATAAAAATTGAATAAATAAGGAGCTAATTTCCCGAACTGCACAGCTGCACTGAGACTTGCAGTGTTTCACTATTTACAGTACGGATTAACTATAATACCAAATACAATGCTGTTCATTTAAAGCCAATGGGGAAGACTTGTGTTTTTTTTTTCTAAGGTCCTTGGAAGTTACTACTCTGTCTTAAAAAGAAAGAAGCTGAACGGAACTGAGGACTGGGCAGCTAGCTAGTTTCAAGATGAAAGAGACATGCGAACAGAGGGACGGAAAACTTACCAGAGAGCGGCCACTGGGTAAGAAAGCTGTAACAGGAACTGATGAATTGCTAGAGGCTCTAGGTGACTAAACCTCTAAGCTTGCAGGAGATTGGGCAGTCATCAGTGAGTCACAGGCTGGGAGAGGCTTGTGGGCCCTGTCCCTCCAGAATGAACTATGAACTACTAGTGGATTCTAGGGGAGGGGCAGTCTTTGTTTGCAGTTGCTTATACACTGGGGCTTGGGGAGGGTTAGGTGATGGGAGGAAAGCAAGTCCACCAGGATCCAATGGACAGTTCCAAACTCTTGATCACAGCGGGGGGGGGGGGGTGTGCACCCTGTAAACTCAGAGGGCTACAAAACAACAAAATGTCATGAATGTGATAAAGAGACTTGTAGAAAAAGAATTGACAGTGGTGGGAGGGAGATAGGAAAGGGTTTGGGGCTGAGAGTTACCAGAATGCTGTTTCTGCACACTTTTGAAATTGTCCAGGAATATAACAGAAATTTTATATTCCCAACCTCCCAGGAACCCAGTCAAGGAAGCCCAGTGTCCTTTACTTTTCTCTCCTTATCTCCAGGAACTCTACCAGACCCTCACTGTAAATACCAGAGAATCCATTGGCTTCTGGGGGAGGGGAGCAGTCCTGTGAAATGCCCCCAGAGCACCATCATTTAACAAGAGAACCCTCAGCAGAGGCTATTGAATCAAGTCTAAACTACAACCTGATGAGAGCTTGGCTGGACTGACTAAGGGAAAAGCACCCTGCCTAAGAACTTTTTCTGCCCTGTCCTGCCCAAGGGCAAAGGGGAGCTGGAAAGCACTGAAGTTCACCATCCAGAGACTCATTCAAAACCCGAGTCTATCTCATAGGCTACACAGTGTTTGCCCTTCCTCATCAAGGAGAACTGAAGTTCCTGGAAGCAGCTCTATCTGTGTTGACACTTCTGAGCTGCACACTTATTAGAGCCTGGTGACTCTGGTGGAGAGATTGGAATGCTGAGCATCCAGGGCCCGGAATGTCTCAGGCTAGTTTTAGTCCTCTTAGCAGGCATTTGTCATTGACCCCTGTGTTGGGCTTATGGACTTCTTGATTACTAGATACAACCTTTGGAATGTGTTAATTTAGCAGACGTTAGTTAACATTCTTGTGGGGGACAAAAACAATTGTACCTTCCATCTAAGGTCTCAAGGACCAAAGTGTGAATGCCCCAAAGTTCACTCTGGGGAGCTGATGAGTTTATTGGGCTTCCTTGTAGAGCATAGGTGAGGGGTTACTACTAGAGTGTAGGGACTGTCCCCACAAATGTCTCACTAGAACTGTTTCTCAAGTAGGGATGGCTTTTCCATAGATGGAGCCTTCCCTTCCCTAACCTTCTCCCCTTCCTATGTGTTTTATCCTCTCCCAGAGGCCTTGTACAATTAGGGCAAAGTTGCATACAACGGGTGGTAGGAAGTGGCTGGCTACTCAGTGAGTCTTCCGACCCTCCTCACCCCTCTGTGAAGTGGTGCAACCAGTTGACACGCCCAGCTTGCACGATCATTTGCAAGCAGGCACAGCTGAACTCAAAATGGCGGTTGTTAAGCTTGGAGGATAGTCGTGTAAAAATGGCCAACATCTCCACCCTTTCCTCCTCCTCCTTCCTGCCCTCCTCTTCCACAGGCTTCCCGGAGGGCGGGGACACAGATGTCTGTCTGTCCTCATCTAAATCCAATGAGGGAAGGAATCCTTGTGCCATTTTGTTGTGCCTTCACCTCAGAGCAAGTTAGGGGTGGAGGTTTATCTATCTCTCTTACTATAAAACACAAGTGAAGCAGAGGATGAGAAACGGGAACAGAACATTTCCCAAATGGACACAGACTGATGTAATGAACGATGCAGTAATAAACAAGGGCTGCTGTAGCGAACACGAGACGGGAGAACTCCTTCAGCTGTCACATCACTTACCAATCATAGCAGTTCCTTCTCCACTGAAACCTGCGACTTCCCTGGCCACAGATTTCCACTTCCCTGTACTAGGTACCAGATAGGATTTTCCCTGTGTGAAGTTGTCCTAAAGCCCAGCCAGAAATTGGTGGGCCCATCCATAAGCACTCAAGCCACGACTACAGTACTTGACACATTTTGCCTGGCACTTTCATTGTGAAGTATCCAGGACCCAGAGGAAAACAGGACTTTAGCCTTAATTCTCCCAGTAGGAATTCTGCCATCACAGGAGCTAGCTAGCAGGGAGGAGATACTTCAGGCCCAGGCTTAGCTTTGTTTCTCCAAGCCTGACAGCCAAAGCTTGCAATCTCTTTAGTGACAGAGTCTTAACCAGGCAGTGCTGGAATGCAACCAACAACTTCGGCAAAAGCCTTTGTTGTTTCAATGGCCTCTGTAACAACAACCCCAAGGAAAGTAACCCATATCCTAGCACCGAGATTACCAGTTGTCATGGTTGGGGTGTCTATTGCTTTGAAGAAACACTGTGACTAAATGTGGCCTGAGGAGAAAGGGTTTGTTTTGCTTACGCTTCCATATCATTAGAAGTCAAAGCAGGAACTCAAACACGGCAGGAACGTTGAGGCAGGAGCTGACCTAGAGACCGTGAAGGAGTGCTACTTACTGGCCTCATCCCTTAAGGCTTGCTCAGCCTGCTTTCTTATAGCACCCAGGTACCACCCACAATGGGCTGGGCCCTCCTACATCACTAATTAAGAAAATGCCTGACAGCTGGATCTCATGGAGGTCTAGTCTCCACTGAAGTTCCCTCTTCTCATATGACTCCAGCTGGCATGCCAGTCAATCACGCCATGTTTTCTAGGAGCATTTGTCTTTATCGTTCGGATTTACAGGTACAAGCTACTGCTACCTTTCCCCAGTTACCTTGATGGTTATCACTTGCCTCTTTTCCAGTTACACTGAAAATCCCACAGCAACACCTGGCCTTCTGCACCCTTTGTGATCCAATCTCCATGATTGCTTATTCTGGTGCACTGGCCTGTCTCTTAATTGAGTCTCCAAATAAGCAAAATGCTCAAAGTTTAGTGTTATGCTATCCACATGTAAGAGGATGTTTATACAGAGGCCAGGCAGAACAATGATGTAACTGTCCTGTGCCTCCCCAAAATGAACAGTGGGAGTGTGGAGATAATCCTTGATGACGTACTTTAAAGTCCATTGGTCCTTGGAAATGTCAGGTTACTGAAGAAGTTCAGAATGACAGGCAACCTTGCCCCCCCTCCCCCCCGCAGGGGAGTAACTAGGAAGGTTCTCATCCTTAGTGGAGGTTGTAGTGGGACCTAAACAAACCTTTTGGCCACCTTTTCTCTTTGCTCTTGGAGTGGATTGCTTGTCTGGTCTAAAACCCTCCACAGGCTGACCATCATCACAGGATTCAGTTGTGTCAGTTTTTTCTGTAAGGACTCTGGCTAGGCCCAAGTCCGGCCTCATCTGTATTCAGAAAATATAGACAGGCGCTTTGCCTGACTGCTTCTCCTCTCAACTTGCTCCTTTTGCTTTAGTGCCTTGTGAACATTTTACACGCTGATCCAAAATTATTAGACTGGCCCAGTTCACACAGGTCCCCAGAGCTCGACTGCCACCCATGTTCTATGTCAGTCTCATAGTCCTGGTTTAATCAAATTCTTTCTTAGGTCTCCTGTAAATACGGTCTTGCTGAAGCCTGTGAACTGGTCATCATATACCAGGTAACCAATACCCAGTTCCTTAGGCAGTGCCTGTCCTTCTTCTACTGTTTCCTGTCCCTGATATTCACAAGGTCCTCACCTGCGGATGAGCATGAGCCCCTAATCGCTGTCTGAGGCAGATGGTCCACCAGGGACTGGTTGCCCTGAGAGTATCTTAGTTTGTGGAGCATTTCTCTCCAGAGGGGATGACTGCACTGGGTTGCTACTTTGCTGCTTCCGCAGCAGCATTCAAGCTGACCCCATCTACTCACGTGTCCCACAGCCTCACAAAGGAGGTGGCAAGGAGTTCATTCACTGCTTATTTGAAAGTCTCCCCAGCTCCATCAGCTCCTGGCACTGAATGTTCTGATTGTCATGGTCTCTGGCTGCAGACCATTGTGAAGACCTTTGTCAGTGTGCTGGGCCTTTTGCTTTCCCTTTCTAGGTATTAAAGGTATGTAGCACCAGAGGACAGCCTTCTGCTACTTCTAGGAAACTCCGTTCCTCAGCTACCTGCCTTCTCCCATGGGGTTCCAGGAGGGGGTCTGTTTTATCAGTCTTTCCCGTTTGGTCCTCAGTTGTAAAAAGCAGCATGTGAGTACCTCCATTTCACGTTCACTTTCATTCAATTTACCTGCAAAGTCCAAGGCCAGTATCTCAGATTCCAACCTTCCATCCATTTCTGGCGGCAATTCCCTCCTTAAGCCTGCAGTTGCAAAGCCACATCCAGGCTGCCTCTGCAACTGCGTGCTGATGTTTTTAACCCTGGTAGGCTGCATTCAGGTCTTGTAAGGTCCGTTTTAGACCTTTGGTTGCTCTCAAAGTATCTCCATACACCCAGGGAAGACCCCACCCATCAATAAAGCATACCACTTCATCCGGGGAAGACTGCCACCCTAAGATTTTCCCCACAGACAGCTCCTGCCCAGCTGGTCTGACCGTAGTGACATTTCTCAATATCCTGTCCCCTTTGGCTCTGTCCCAACTTTTAACCACACAAGTCCTACAGGGATAAATTACCATGTCAATTTTTCCTCTGTAATTATGCCCCAAATCAACTTCACTTTACTTGTATATCTCATTCTCCAGATTAGGGACAACACCATTGCTCTTCCCAAACTCATCCTCAGGTTTGTCATATCCTGCTGACTAGGCCAAGTGTTGCTCACATTCAGTTCCAGATGGAGATTTAAACATGCCTACCTTCCTAGGTGCCAAGGACAAACCAAGGTAACAATCCACCAACGTTCACTTTCGGGGAACTAATGAGTTTATTAGGCTTGCTTATAGAGCATGGGTGGGGGGTTACTGACTGGAGTATGGGGGCTCCCCATATCCCCAAGGGCCACCACAGAATCATACCTGTATTTCTCTGAGCCTAGACACATGTTGGAGCATTGCTTCACAAAATATTCTACAGACACTTGCTAGAGATTACAAGGGCTGGGGTCACCTCAGTGCTCTCAAGAGTTTTAGGATGCAGAATAGAATGCACAGTACTTTAAGGAATGAACCAAATGTTTGCTTATTCCCCGTGACAAATTTCCAGGACAGGCAAGAATACTTAATTAAAGTGTATCGCTAAACTCAATACCATGGAAACAGATAAAAAGGTAAATTCTCCCAGACTTCCCAGGGTTTTGTGTTGTTAATCTTGTAGGCTCACTTGAAGACTTAACCTCTAATTTGTTTAATAAAAAGGAAAATTAGAAACTAAGGGTCCAGGAACATGAGGTATGAGGGTTTGAGGGGAGCTCGAGCTGACACCTAGCACAGTGCTTGTGAAAGAAAATTCAAGGACATGTGACACCATATGGTGATATGAAAGGCACTACCAACTAATTCATTATTGTTCAGAATATCCAGTGTCCTGAAGGTTATAGGACACTACAATTCAAACTCTTTGATACAAAACAAACTGGCCAAATGTGGAAATTAAACATTGTGTCAAAAAGAATTTATAATTCTAAATGCATCAAACTGTTCAGAAAGTAAGTTGTTAATCCTGGCTTACTTAAATCATTCACACATCAAAGCCAGATGTCTCAATCTAAATATAGAAAACAATAGTAGCTTCTCAGAATGGTTCCAAGTGTTAAACAATTACATGGAGGCACTTTGAGAGGCTATCAAGTAGAATAAAATACACCAAAGTAACAGTTAATTCAACCACTGTAGATAACTGTCTCACTTCTTTACCCAACCCTTTTTCTCAGGATTCTGGGTAGAAGTGGGTGACTTTATAGTAGAAAACACATCAATTTCTAGAATTTAGATTTCTGAAAAACAAAAGAAATGAAACAAACAATAAAACCCTAGAAACAGGTCAAAGAGGCTAGTGTAGGCTGATAGTTCTTTTGTTTGTCTGTTGTTGTATTCATGTAGTTATCATTTACCTGACTATAGAACAAGCTTTTAATATAATGCTAATCATATCAAAAATTATTACAATTTATAAGAACACCTTAGATACCATTTTGTGTATTTTTCTAGGCTAAAATTTTATTCAATTAATTTACTAATATTACCATTCATATGTGAACTTATTTTACTCCCAAGTGTGTAAAGTTCTACTAAACATACACTGAATAACTGTAAATAATAACTTGAAATATTCTTTATTATATACATTTAGAAGCAGCTATATTGCTTATTTACAATAAATTATTTTTGCTTTTATTGGACCTACATGACAAAACTTACAGAAAGACTTGGAAGAATTGCTGACCATGAAGTAGAAATTACTCATTTATCTTCTGACAGGTGGGATTAGTATCAAGTAAATTATTTCAAAAATGCACGTCAATATTCACAACATCTGATGTTTTCATATCACATGCAAAAATACAACCACTATCAGCAACTATAATAGCAACAATAAAAAGAGCTCATATTTATCAAATAGATATTCTCAACTTGGAATGTTTCTGAGAATCTTATATGGACAATTTCATCTAACAATATTTCAGATATTTATTAATTCATAAAAGTTCTACACAGAAAGACAGAACTATAAATAGTCCCTCTTTTTATCAGATACCATAATGAAATCTTAAGACAACTTTTTGTTGTTGCTGTTCCTATTGTTCTCTGTGTCTTTAAGAGCTTAATATTTTCTGTACGAGGTTTGTATTCATACTGTTTCTGTTTTTTTAATTTAAGTCAGTTAAATAAGCATAGAAAAATATTATAACAGGTTTATATATATTCTTCTTAAATTTCAGCATTCTATTTTTCAATGTTTTGAGATTTGTTCTTTTTCTATTCATCTTCAGTTTATATTGTGTTATCTTCTTCCTCTTCTTTGTCTTCTTCCTCTCCTTCCTCATCCACCACCATCTCTTCATCCTCAGTTTTTGTTTCCTCCTGTCTTGAAAATCTTTTACTCTCAAATAGCAACTGATTTTCCTTTAAAATATCTGGAAATCGAGACTGTATTATTAAAACGAAGACGATACACAGCACAAAACATGCTGCTCTCAGTAAAAGGATAAATATGCACAGCGGAGCACACACAAGTGGGCGGGGCTTTTCCCAAGGTGGGTACCAGAATTGGTAATCTATAAACAAAGAAGCAATTAAAGAAAGCTATATTTCATGTAAAATGGTTAATTTGTGTAAGTAAGAAAAGACAACAATACATACATGTAGCTTGGTCACGATCTACATTACCTAGAAAGAAAAATAAAGACTATTAAGAAGTACATAATTTATTTTTTCTACTTCTATAAGAGTTTCCCTAACAGCAGTACCACCATTCTTTATGTCCACAGAATCGAAGGCAGCAGTTCTCAACCTGTGGTTTTTAACCCCTTTGGGGAGTCACCTATCAGATGTCCTACATATCAGATAGATACTTACATTACAATTCATAACAGTAGCAAAATTAGTTATGAAGTAGCAACAAAATAATTTTATGGTTGTGGGATACCACTGTAGAGGCATTTTAATCCAGCAACATGGCTGCTCTGGCAAGGGATCGCATCCAAAGACCTTCTAGGTCTATATGATCCGGCTGGAGTGTGGGCACCCTTGATTACAGTATGATCTGGCTGGAATAAAGACACACCCTTAGTACACAACTTCAATCCCTAACAATGACAATGAGGTTAGTCTGTAGATGGAAGCAGACATATTTGAAAGTAATGTCTAATTGTGGGGCAGACAAAGTGTCAAATCAGAGAAAGAGTTGACGGAATGAGTCAGAGATAGGATACACCCAACTTTCCGAAGAACATCACAGCAAAGAGAGGCCACTTTAGGGTAGCTCAAGAGAAAAGAAAGGGTGTGTACGTATGGCAGTTTTACAGAGACAGGTTGCAGAGAACAAGTTAGACACAGGTGAAGATGGAAGGAGCCAGACAATGAGAAAGAGGCAGAAGATTAGAACATATTGCAAAGTTAGTATGAGGCCAGGCAGAACAATTCAGGCAGAAGCAGAAAGAAGATGGATTAAATCAGTCAGCTTGGAAGATTTTTATAGGGGCTAGAAGCCTCTAGGCCTAGGCCTAGGATTAGGTAGAACAGAGAAAGAGACACTCTGGGCTCATTCCAAGCTGTATATTCAAACAGCGTGGGTAGAGTCCTCATCACATCCCCTCATCAGAGGAAATAAATAAAAGAGACATTTATAGCATGAGGAGCTGTATTAATGGGTTGCAACATTAGGAAGGCTGATCTAAGGCATCATGGTCTCTGATGTTCTGCCTCAGCTAGTAGCCAAGCAACAATAAACAACACTGATTTTAGTTATTTTTTTCAGTGATAATTACATCTTCAAGTAGACAAATTCCTTTTCATTTGTTCAACTGGGTAGAGAGGGTCAGACAATCCTTATTTTTCTTTTATTGAAAATAAATTCTTTTCTCATGTAATATACCCTGGTTACTGTTTCCTCTCCCTCTACTCCTCCCAGTTCCTCCCCCCTTCCCTCCCATCTAGATCCACTCCTTTACTCCTTTTCTAAGCCAATCATTCTTGACTTCCCCTAAGAGGATAAATGAGTACAAACATGTGGAAAGTGAAGTGCCAATGTGGGCTTGGTCTTGCATTGATATGGTAAAAATTAGAATTTATTTTTTAGGGTCCTTAGAGATGAAGTGAACTCTGTGTGCCTGTGATATCATTTTAGCATTTTGATTTTGGTCCTTTATATGTTATGTGGTGAATCCTTCATTATAGGGTGGGCAGGTTCTCTCCATGATGCATGTGTATTTATTGATCCTTAAGCAGAAGCAGGAATATCACAGAGCATTCTTTTTGGCAGGTTTCTTCACTTATCACAAGTAGTTTTTTGTTTATTTTATCATAATTTATACTTATTAAATATTTAAACAAATTTAATTTATTTATAGAATAGTTTATCTGCTTTTGAAGAAAGGATTTTAGTTTTTGTGTGTGTTTATATATGTGTGTGTTTATATATGCATGTGTACATGCATGCATGTAGGTGCTAGAAGGCGTTGTGTCTCATGAGCTACCTGACCACTGAGTATTCTCTCCAGCCCCTATCTGTCAGCTTTTAAGCCTTATTTTTGGTCCCTGGATATAAAAGATATAAAGATATGAATCTACATCTTTCTTATCCCATATTAATTAAGTAATTTTTGTATTTTATTATTTCATAATTTTATATTGTATACGTTTAATTAGGTTTTTGCTTTTTTATCTATGTATCTATCTATCTATCTTGGTTTTTCAAGACAGGGTTTTTCTGTTTAATAGCCATGGCTGTCCTTGAACTCACTTTGTAGATCATGCTGGACTTGATCACATAGAGATCCACCTGCGTCTGTTTCCTGAGTACTGGAACTAAAGGCGTACGTCACCATGCCTGGCTTAATTATGTCATTTTTTATCTTGCTAAAATTTCTTGTTACATTTTGCTTGATTGTAGATGAATTTTAATCCAGCAACATGGCTGCACTGGCAAGGCATCATATCCAAAGACCTTTTAGGTCTGTGTTATCTGGCTGGAATGACACACCTTTAATCACTGTGGATAGACTACAGACACACTCTTAGTACACACTCTTAGTCCCACATACTTAAGGTAGAGTTAGTTTGTAGAAGCCTTGATTGAAAGTAATGTCTATGGGAACTAGAAAAGATCATCCTGAGTGAGGTAATCCAGAAGCAGAAAGACACACGTTATATACTCACTCATAAGTGGATATTAGCCACATAATATAGGATAAACATACTAAAATCTATACTCCTAAAGAAGCTAAGCAACAAGAAACATCCTAGGGAAGATGCTCAATACTCATTCAGATGGACAAATGTTGTAGATGTCAGAAGCAGGAGAAGACCAGGAACAGGACAGGAGCCTACCACAGACAGCTTCTGAAAGACCCTATTGATCAAGGTATCGAAGCTGAGGCTAAGACTGATAGTCAAACTTTTGGCAGAGTGCAAGAAACCTTATGGAAGGAAAGGGACATAGAAAGACGTGGAGGGGACAGGAACTGCACAAGGAGACCAACAGAGCCAAAAATCCTGGGCCCAGGGGTCCTGCAGAGACTGATATTCCAACCAAGTACTTTGCACAGAGAGGACCTAGAACTCCTGCTCAGATGTAGCCCATGGACAGCTCAGTCTCCATGTGGGTCATTTAGTAAGGGGAACAGGGGCTGTCTCTGACATGAACTCAGTGGCTGGCTCTCTGATCACCTCCCCCTTGTAGGGCAGGGGCAGCCTTGCCAGTCCACAGAGGAAGACAATGCAATCATTAGATTAGACCTGATAATGCTGGGGCCAAATAGAAAGGGAGGAGGACCTACCCTATCAGTGGACTAGGGGAGGGGATAGGAGGACAAGAGGGAAGGAAGGTGGGATTGGGAGGAGATGAAGGAGGAGGCCACATCATGGATACAAATTGAATAAATTGTAGTAAATGATAAAGAACAACAAAAAAGAAAGTAATGTCTAACTGAGGGACAAAGTGATGAATCAGAGAAAGATTTGACAGAATAAATCAGAGAGAGATTAGGCTCAATTCACACGAGAATAGACAGGAAACAGAGGGTAGTTAAGAGCAGCCCAAAGTGAGTCAGGAGGACAAGCAATTCAATGAGTGCAATTTAGTTGAGTTCAGTCAATTTGGTTGAGTTCAGCTCAGAGGAAGTTTTCACCATGACAGTTTTACAGAGATGGGTTATATAGAGATAAAACTAGGCACAAGTGAAAACATAATTACCTAGAGAATGAGAAGGAACCAGGAGATTAGAACAAATTGGCAGAGTTAGTTTTAGGCCAACCAAAACAATTTAGAGAGACTTTCTTGAAAAGTCAGTTTGAATCAGTCAGCTTCGATAGGAGTTTGGTAGAGAACAGCTGAGCTGGACCAGCCAGCCAGAGTTTAGAAAGAACTATTAAGTGTGAGTTCATTTATCAGTAAGCCTCCAAGGTGATAAATATATTTGGTGAATAAAAGTTACTTTTACACTTGGTAATAACAATGCTCAGATTTTCTTTCAGTCTATTAATGAAGATGCAATTCTTACAAATGTTATTCACTGCAGTTTCTTCCCCTCCCATCTTTTTGGTCAGAGTCATCTTAAGGAGTTTGTTGAGAAAGCACTCATGTTAACTATGTATCAACAGTTTCCACATGCTCAAAGTAAAAATTGTCTAGAAGACAAAGTTTGGCTTGTATGGATTGTTAGTTAACTCTCTATACCTAAGGGCAAAATAGGAATCATTCCACTGTCTCCTAGTCCTGAATTTTATGGCATGGAAGTTGAAAACAAACCTATTTTTCCCCTTAAGTGAGGCTGTTATCTTGCCAATGTGGAATTGCTACAACACCAATGCAAAGCCAAATCTTTACTGTAGAGCTGAGACCAGGATTAAGAATTCTATGAATTCTATCTTCCGTGTAGTTTCAGAATTTGCTACTTAGTTGAAGATAAGCAACATTTGGAAGCTCTAGAACTATATACTCTAGTTCTGAAGAGATGGCTGCAAGCCAGAGGGAGATATGAATGAATACATGAGTCACAGTAGTCACTCAGTAAGAGACAAAACTGCTGGTTCTGTTACCACTTCTCTGCCCTTAGCATCATATAAAACTGTACTTCCCTTGTTCTATACTTCACTGCTGGAATACTGACAGTTGCTGGTTCCTTTGGGCAAATGGACTGTTACATAATCTAATAAAGAATCTTATGGGTTTTTTTTTTTTTTTACATCCATAAAAGATTCTTTCTCTTCCACTGATATCCAGGAACTTACCAGATTTGTCAACTACACTGATTTTGTGTCATCCTTTCATGGTACACAGTATTCACTTTCAATGTTTAGAATTAATACTTTTATTTCTGTAGTGAAGGTGTTGTTTGAATATTTATGCATATTTACCCCTACATATGTTTCCTGTGTTATTTTGCTTTTCTTCTTCAGATCCTACCACTGTTTGAGTGTGACTCATCAGTGCATATTTATAATGTTTTCATTGGCCTTTAATCCTCTTAATTCCGTATTTTAGTTGTGACCCACACAGTCTTTACAGTGCTTTCGAGTATCTGGGTTTCTTGCACTATTTCAAATGTGATTGCCACCATTTCCCTTTTGGGAAATGCTTGAATATTCCTGTTGCCCTTGGTTGCATCCTGGAGGTTGAACACATACTATTGCTGAAAACACCATGCATTTCAGATACCCAGAGGGCACAAGCTACATCAAACACGAAAGTATCCTCTCTCAGGTCTAGCTTTCATGATACTAGAAGGCACCAGCAGTGTTCCAAAGGAGGGAAGCCACCAACAGACCTACCCAGCTGTGATGCCTATGAGCCACAACAATGACCAGCATGGCACAATAACTCTGAGGACCAACAGTGGCACTTAAACCTTGGCAGTAATTAGCTGCTCTCTAATTGAACTTAAGGCCCACTCAACAAGAGAAAAATCATGTCTGTCATTAGTAATCTAGGCAATCTTGGAGGAGAAACTACATCTACCACTTTACTAAATCAATAATTACGCTAAATTAATAATAATTCCAAAATGAATTCTAAACATTTATCCCTTTATCCACACATTACTATAGCTCTCATCCCTCAACAAAGGAACTTCCTTTTGCAGGGGACAGAGACCCTCACAGTAAAGTGTTACTGATCAAAATGCAGAGAATAAATGATTGTGTGATGCCCAGCCCCAGCTGATACACCTATAACAAAACTCTGCACCTAAGGCTAAGGGAACACAGCAAAAGAGGGAGAAGAAAGATTGTAAGAGCCATATCAAAATGATGTCTGCTGTGAAATTTCCTTTAGAAACTTCAGGGAAGCTATACCTATGAAGTTTCAACACCAAAGCTGTCAAGATGAGATCCGAACCAAGATGACACCAAATGTGACAAGGAAGGGGGGAAATCACAGGCCTAACACTAGACAAAGAACTACAGGTAACTATGGAATAGTGAAAGCAGGAAAAATTGTGTTCTTCAGGGAAGAGTCTTCTACAATTTCTTTTTCAAAAAGCAAGTGATCAGCCCTGAAATCTCTCTCTCTCTCACACACACACACACACACACACACACACACACACACACACACACCCCATATGGACTGAACAGATTATATTTATGTATTTAGGAACACACACACACACACACAATTTGTAACATTTCTAGAAAATGAGGCCAGAGGCCCAAATAAAGAAACTTATCATCCAAAATTATTACCACAGCTGGAATATACAACATTTAGAAGAATTTCATGAGCAATAACCTCAGAGCACATTTTACTTTTGTGCAAAAAAAAAAAAAAAAAAACTAAATAATTTTGAAAATGACACTTGCACTGAAGCTGAGGACTGTTCTCCTTATATGCATCAAAGCCAGAGTCAATATCAACAGTCAACCACTCCACTTTCTTACTGTCTACATCAGATGGATTTATATTATCTTACTGCATAGGAAGTCTGTGCATCTGTCCCAAGAACCACACCGAGTACAAAACTGCCCTGCTTGGTAAGGCCTCCTTGTCAATGTTCCTCTAGAAAAAAAGCAGAAAGTAAGAAAAGATTCAGTTCTTCTGTTATATAATGTTAATTAAAGTTATGTTAAGTAAATTATTAATTTATGTTAATTAAACAACATTGTTTCCACACCTATTTTAAGATGATTTAGTTAAGAAAATTCATTTAATTTCTCTTATCTATGGGAAGACAAGCAGTAAACGAGATCCATCCATCTATCTACCTACCTACATTCCTTCCTTCTTATTTTTCTTTCCATCTTTTTTTTTCTTTGCCCTCCATTGTGCAGTCCCAAAGAGTATTCCTTGATCCTAGGAAATAGTCAAGTCTTTGTTTCTATTTACGATGTTGATTAGACTATTTCCCACCTATTTGGAAGTTATAGTTCTGTTACTCAAAGGATTATATGACTTAGGACTTCCAAATAGAGTGCTTCAGAGGTGCAGGCTATCGGGGGTAGCCACCGTAAGTGGCAGATGCTCAAGAATAAAGAAAATAGTGAGGAAGTAGAAACAACGCAGGCTTCCGGGAGTTCCATCTGTGATATTGATGAACCTCTGTATGACTTATGTTAGCCCAAACAACTATCTTGTGGTTAGTTTCAGTGTACTTCATGTCACAAGACTGATATATTTCTAAAATAATTCTTACTACACAAATTTCAACATAGCTGAGTTTTAAGACCTTTCAGAGGCCCTCTGTGCTATGCTCCTGTCCTGTTCCCCGTTTTCTCCTTTTTACAATGTCCATCTTGTTTGCCTTTCTGAGTAAGGATTGAGCATCTTACCCAGCGTCCCCCTTCTTGCTTGGCTTCCTTAGGTGTAAAGATTGTAGTATGTTTATCCTATATTATACGTTTAATATCCACTTATGAGTGAGTATATACCATGTGTGTCTTTTTGCTTCTGGGTTACCTCAGGCAGGATGATCTTTTCTAGTTCCATCCATTTGCCTGCAAATTCCATGATTTGCTTGTTTTTAATTGCTCCGTAGTATTCCATTGTGAATATGTACCACAGTTTCTGAATCCAATCCTCAGTTGAGGGACATCTATTGAAGCAGATGCTGAGACTCATAGCCAAACTTTGGGCCAGGGACAGGGAATATTATGAAAGAAGGGGGAGATAGAAAGATCTGGAGGGGACAGGAGCTCCACAGGGAGAGCAACAGAACCAAAAAATCTGGGCACAGGGATCTTTTCTGAGACTGTTACTCCACCCAAGGACCATGCATGGAGATAAACCAGAACTCTTGCACAGATGAAGCCCATGGCAGCTCAGTGTCCAAGGGGGGTTCCCTAGTAAGGAGAACAGGAAGTGTCTCTGACATGAAATCAGTGGCTGGCTCTTTGATCACCTTCCCCTGAGGGCGGGGGCAGGCTACAGGGTAAGATAATGCAGCCAGTCCTGATGTGACCAAATAGGCTAGGGTCAGATGGAAAGGGAGGAGGACCTCCCCTATCAGGGGACAAGGGAAGGGATATGGGAGAAGAAGAGATAGTGATGGTGGGACTGGGAGGCGACAAGGGAGTGTACTACAGCTGGGATACAATAATATCCAGAATTTATAAAGAACTCAAGAAGTTAAAAAGCAACAAATCAAGCAATCCAATTAAAAAATGGGGTATGGCGCTAAACAGAGAATTCTCTGTAGAGGAATATAGAATGGCAGAGAAACACTTAAAGAAATGCTCAATGTCCTTAGTCATCAGGGAGATGCAAATCAAAGTGACACTGAGATTTCACCTGACACCCATCAGAATGGATCAAAATCTCAAGTGACAACACATGCTGGAGAGGATGTGGAGAAAGGGGAACCCTCCTCCACTGCTGGTGGGAATGAAAACTTGTACAACCACTTTGGAAACCAATCTGGTGCTTTCTCAGATAATTAGAAATAGTGCTACCTCAAGATCCAGCTATACCATGCCTAGGCATATATCCAAAAGATGCTCAAGTACACAAGGACATTTGCTCAACCATGTTTGTAGCAGCTGTGTTCGTAATAGCCAGAACCTGGAAACAGCCCAGATGTCCCTCAGTTGAGGAATGGATACAAAAATTGTGGTACATTTACACAATGGAATACTACTCAGCAATTAAAAACAAGGAAATCATGAAATTTGCAGGCAAATGATGGGATCTAGAAAAGATCATTCTGAGTGAGGTATCCCAGGAGCAGAAAGACACACATGGTACATACTCACTTATAAGTGGATACTAGACCTATAAGATAGGATAAACATACTAAAATCTGTACACCTAAAGAAGCTAAACAAGAAGGAGGTCCCGGGGTAAGATGATCAGCCATCAACCTTCACTTAGAAAGACAAATGGGATGGACATTGGATGTAGGAGAAAACAAGTAACAGGACAGGAGCCTACCACAGACGGCTCTGAAAGACTCTGCCTAGCAGTGTATCAAAGCAAATATTAAGACTCATAACCAAACCATCAGCAGAGTGCAGGGAAACATATGAAAGAAGGGGGTATTAGTAAGACCTGGAGAGGACAGGAGCCCCACAAGGACCAAATATATCTGGGCACAGGGGTCTTTTCTGAAACTGATTCTTCAACCAAGAACCATGCATGGATATAACCTAGAACCTCTGCTCAGATGTAGTCCATGGCAACTCAGCATCCAAGCGGGTTTCCCTAGTAAGGAGAACAGAAACTGTTTCTGACATGAACTCAGTGGCAGGCTCTTTGATCACCTCCCCTGAGGGAGGAGCTGCCTTGCTAGACCACAGAGGAAGACATTGCAGCTAGTCCTGATGAGACCTGATAAACTAGGGTCAGATGGAAGGGGAGGAGGACCTCCCCTATCAGTGGACTTAGAGAGGGGCAGGAAGGAGAGAAGGGAGGGAAGGGTGGGATTGGGAGGCAATGAAGGAGGGGGCTACAGCTGGGATACAAAGTAAATAACCTGTAATTAATATAAAAAATAAATAAATGAAAAGGAAAAAAATATCTCTTATTAGTGATATGAACATACACCATTTTGGAAAATGACTGAAACCATACAGCAGCTCCTCTAGTTACTGTAACTAGTTAATGCTAACCTTCATTCCTATAAGTGGTAAACATTAGAGAGTTTGTAAGTAAAGCCAATTTGCTCAAAGTATGACTGATTTCATTTGAGATTGAAAATATTTCATTATAAAGTCTTTTCTCAATACTATATTTAAAGCATTTATGGCCAATAAAGACTTTAAAAACATATTACAACTTAAAGTTGTAAGACTTCAAAAGTTAAAGTTGAAGTAAAACTTAAAAACTTCTCATTTTATTTTAATATATTTTTTTTTTACTTTAAAATCAGTTACCCTGGTGCATAGTTGCATATGAAAAGTGCTGCATAATGGACACTTCCAATTCTTGTACATGGCGTAACAGCACAACCAACTTTGTAGGAGTTGTCCCAAACGAGCTGAAACAAACATGTCAAGGAAAATGTAAAGTTGATTTAGAAGTGCTTATCTTATCAATACTATATTCCATCCACACAGAATCTTTAACCAAGAAATTCAAGGACTATTAAAAATTGTTTTTAGACAGAGGTGGGACACTGTTGTAAATTTAGGAAGCATGTCCAGAGCTGTATGTACGTAAATATTGTCATAGTTTCATATTATAGGAAACAGCTTAAGAACACTGCTCCAGACAATGCCAGTGGAAGTCACATCTGATGAGGTGATTTGCCAATACCTGCTTAGACTGAAAAAATTTTTAGGGCTTCGGCAGGAGAAAGGAAAATTAGGGAAAGAAGAAGAAAAGCTTTGTAAAAGTGGAGGTAAAGTAAAAGAGAGAAAAGAGGAACACAAGGGCTACAGACAGGAAGCAAGCAAGTGTAAACAACGGCACCAGCATCTCTCTTTCCTTTTATAGAGGAAGTTGGATCAGGAAACAAAACAAAGTATGGGCTTTTCATTAGAAAATATTAAGAGGAGGTCTGCTTTCCAGATCATAAAAAGGAGATGCTGAACTGGGGGGGTGGGAGTGGGGGCAAAAAGACTGCAGTTATGAGAGGTATTCCAGAAATGCTCAATATTAGTAAAATTAATTTCTTTCAAGTAAAGAAAAAGTTCTTCTTTTGACTCATAACCTGTGGGGAAGGAGAGCCATTTCTCTCTCCTATTCAATTTTAACAAACTTGAATTGTAATAAAATTTCAATTCATACAGAAACAACTGTGATACATTAAAGACTAGACACAGACAATCTGGCCAGCAGGTGGTGGCGCACATCTTTAATCCAGCACTCAACAGGCAAAGGCGGGTGCATCTCTGTGTGTTCGAGGTCAACCTGATCTACAGAGTGAGATCCAGGACAGCCAGGGCTGCACAGAGAAACCCTGTCTCAAAGGCAGAACAAAACATAAAAACAAAGCAAACAAAAACAAATTCTGAGGCTAGACCACTTGCCTAGGGACATAAGCGAGGCCCCGGGACCAATTCACAATATCACTCCAAAAATAACAGAAAAAAATATAAGAGTTGAAGTAAAGTCTAGCAGTTCTAATACAGGAAACAAGAATGTCTTGGTGGCTTGAATTACAGAGCAGAAAACTGCATAGTAACAGGAAAGAGACTAAAGTTAAATTAAGCAGCCTGGCTTTCCCATCAGTAAGGAATATGGAGGAACTGATAAAAAAAAGATCTGATCAAAAATTCTTTAAAGAATTCATCTGCTAGAAAACAAGGAGCAGAGTTACAACCGTGAATAAATTTCAAAATTATGTTTTACATGAAAATAAGCTGACTGAGACAAATCAAGTTATATTTTAAGTAAACAACTTCATTCAAAATGCTTTGATGCCTGACATAAATATTTACTGGCGAAATTAGTCAGGGTCATGTTGTTTTGAGACTATGTGGGTACAATGACAAGGTCTCTGGTCTTGGTGTACTATGAGCTATTTAAGTTCCTGTGTGACATAATGAAGGTGAGTACAGAGAATGAAAGGTTGTTGAGGATTCCTGGAGAGTAAGGTGGGAGCTGGAGTGCTGGGCATGAATCCTGGAAATAACAGTGGAAGTTGACAGATAAGCCACATAGTCTGTCTACTAATCTGTGGAGAATTAGGACACCTTTTTGTTTGCTCATGGTTCATAATTTGTAAGTCATTGTCTTTAAAAGAATCTTCCTTCCATTTCTACTGTGCACTGGTTTCAGAACAAACCCCTTGACCTTGAGGTATGCAGACAATGACTATTTCTTGTATGATTCACATAATGGATGGAATGGTGGATATTTAAAGAGCCAGAGAGGATTAAATTGTTTTATTGTATTGAGGGAGTCATATTATCACTCGAGCTTATAAATTCAAAACAGAGAAGTAGATAAAGCAATTAAGAAGGTCACTAATTTAATAACTATACATATCAGGTACCTGTATATAATGAGAACAGTCCTCAGCTTCAATGCAAGTGTCATTTTCAAAATTATAACTTTTCCTTTGTTCATGCCAACTTCTGATAGCAATACTTGCAGTAAATTCATTTTCAGGACCAACCCACATGTTTTCACCAATACCATTAAATACAGGGTGGGACTCATGCACCGTATCTAAATGAGTATTCCGCTGGTACATACATTTCTTCCCCCAGGCTCTAGCAGTACGCGACAGAGCTACATCCCAAGTCTGAAAATAAACACACACAAAACAGAGAAAACAAAATAATTAAAAATAACAGTCTCTCTCCAAAGCTCTGGTGGCTTTTAACCGAAAGTATGTGGATGAAGCCTCTAAGAAGGAGGTCAAACATACCCTTATCCAGTATGGTCAGACCCTGCTTAGGGCTGACCCCATCGCTGTGAATCCAAAATGTTTGGAGGTCCTGGTGCCTGTGCTCGATATCAGAAATCCTATGGTAAGCCCATCTCAAGGATCAGGGTTGACTTTGGAGTAAACATCCTAGGATTTTAATGTTACCATTAAAAAAAATAACATTGCTTTAATGTTTTAATTTTCTTTCTTGGTGTTTAATCCCTTAGGGAGAACTAGACCAAGTTTGTATTATTTTCTTCTGGGCAATATTTGTAGGAGTAACTTTTTTCAGGTCATCAAAAATAAAATGACTACTTCCTAAGATAAAAGTCTACTAGTAGGTCTTAGCTGACATATTCAAGTGGAAGATTAAACTAATTACTGTAGTTCTCTTTTACATAGTCTTTTCAGGATTATATAAGCTTACATACAGTTTGATCAGAATACACATTTTTAATGTTATTTTGTGCTCAGACAATTAATGCATAGATGGAACAGCAAAGATTTTTCTGATTTTAATGCCCAAATCTGGAATCAGTTTTATCATACACTCTTTTAAAAGGATGACAAAAGTTATCAAAAGCAGATACATGAGAAAACAATGACAATTCATACCACAAGTAAGGAATAATTTTCCAGATGAAAAAAAAATGAAGTGAATATTTTAAAAATATCAAGAAAGTTTTAAGAAATAGGCAAAGGATAATTAACACACACACACACACACACACACACACACACACACACAACCAGCCTTACTTATAGTGAAAGAATAAATTTAAAACCACTTTCAGATATTATCTCACCACTAAAACTCCAAAGGTCCAGCAATATTTTTCTTGCATCACTGGTCCAGCTGCAGTTTATACTATCATAAGGGTGAAGCAACGTCACATTTCCAAATGGTGTGCCAGTTGGAGAAGGGGCATGGGAAGAGATGAGGGAGGGAGAGATGAAGGGAGGGCGGGATTGGGAGGTGATAAGGGTGTATCCAGGGCTACACCTGGGATACTAAGTGAATAAATTGTAATGAATAAAAAATTATATTAAAAATACCATAGAAAGATGGAGAGAAAAGAAGTGACTGAAAATCAACTCCATGACAATGAATCAGAATGTAAAACACAGAGAAAAGGAAATATAAATGAAAAAGAAGAGCTATGTATAAAGAGAAAGTCAAACATTTATTCTGTATGACGAAGGTGAGACTATACAGGCTGCATTTGAGGCAACTTCCATTGATGAAGAATTTCAGATTTACCAACAGACATAAACACACAGATTCAAAAGGAACAAGGCCTGGTAGAAAGTAGCTCAAACTATAGAGCTGCAAGAGAAAGAAGAAATAGTAACACCAAGGGACCTTAAACCTCAGTACACTTCAGAACCATCTATATGACTTTAAATTAAAATACAGACTATTGGAATCCAAACCTGGATTTTGGATTTAGGAGGATCAGAGGAGAGCCTGAAAACTTTTCTTTCAGACAAGTTCACTGGAAGTTTCAATGTGTAGAGACTATATTTTAGAAATCTGTTAGATTAGTGAAATAGAAGAAATTAACACTTTTAAAGGGTTTATTAGCTGTACAATCTAAGTGGTACTTAAAAAGTCAAAAGCAATAGAGGATAGAGGAAACCATTGTGTGGGGAAGAAACAGGGGGAAAAAACGGGGAATCTCTGGGGCTTGCTGGCTGCCAGCATAACACAATAAACAAACTATTAAAGATGTATTTTTTAAAAGTCTCATGCCATAGTCAACTTTATTCAAAGTATCAGACAAATTATAGTCTTAGGTGTAAGAAGCGGCACTTGAGTGAAGGATATAATTACAAGGACAAGCCACATGTGGCTAAAAGATGTTTTTCTATAGAGGCATATAAACAACAACAGCCAGTTGTGATGAAGTAAACTCACACCTATGTGCCACATGTGGGAGGGAATTTAAAGATGTATTTTAAGTGCAAGGAAATTTAGAAATGATTTGAGTAAAACAGGAGGTCACAAGTAGTATGCACAATTACATACAATTCTATATGCTAACAATGAACAATCTGAACAGAAAAAATAGGCAAATAATTGCACCATAACAACACTAAAAAATAACCTTATCCAAACTGGACTTTTTAAAGACCACAGAATGTTGTTAAAATAATTAAAGAAAATACTAATTAAAAGACTGAGATCTATGGCCAGAGACTGGAGACAATATTAAAATGCCCTCACTACACAAAATATTCTGCAAAGTAGTGTGATTCCCCCCCCCCCCATCAAAAGCAATTCAGGCAGACTCTAAGGGACATTAAATTTAGTAACAGTAATAATTTTAAAAAGGGAAACAAATGGAGAGGGCTTGGCAGACTGTGAAATAAGATAAATAGCTCAGAAATAATTTTCTGCACACACACACACACACACACACACACACACACACACACGAAAGTGGTTTCTACACAGGCTGCAAAGACCATAATTGACAAACACCAGTACTTTAAACCATGCTCTGGGAAAACTGGATATCCATCCGTACACAAAAGAATAAAATTAGACTCTTATCTTATACCATATCAAATAATTAACCACAAATAGCTCAAAGAACTAACTGTAAGACCTAAAATTGTGAGGTTTTTCTTTTCTTTCTTTTTTTTTTTTTAAAGAAAATCTAGAGAACAACTGCATAAAGTGGATTTGCAATGATTTCTCTAAAATAGTGCCCCAAAGCATATGCATGAAGGAAAAAGAGAAGATGTCATCAAAGTTTTAAGGCCTTTTCCATTTTATTACTTCATGTATGTTTCCCCTGTGAGCACATATGTCCACCACTTGCATGCCTGATGCTTCAAGAAGCCACAGGAGGGTGTTAGAGCCCCCCCCCCTTGGAACTTTAATTACAGAAGTTTGTGAGGTCTGGGAGCTGAACCCAGGTCCTCTGCAAAAGCAGCAAGTGTTCTTAACCTTTGAGCCATCTCTCCTGTGCCAAGACTTTTACTATCAATAGATAGGCAACCCACACAAAGAGAGGGAGCATCCGTAGATCATCTCCTCTCTCATACCAGCCTCCCCACTCTCCTACCTGCTGTCATGTCTTTACACAGTTCTATATTCCCTCTCATCTCCCTTCTTCCTCTCTTTTCCTCTTTCCTGGTGGTGGGGGTGGGGATGGGGCAAAGGAAAGCATGGGAAAGGGGGAAAGGAAGTGGAAAAAAGAAGAAAGAAAATACTGATAAAACTCACACCAACTTTTATTTAGAAAAGTAAATTTAGGATACAGCCTTAACTTAAACCGAGAATGTATCATTTCAAATGTTAAAAGTCTATGATGTAAGCTCACAAATCTGGTGTTTTCTGTTCTTCTCTTTATTGAAATATTCTCTGTCTTTCAGAGATCACAAACAAAGCTTACAAAGGTTATTCCAGAAACCACTGTGTTTACTCAGTTTTAAGAGGAAGGATAATTCAAATTTGGGGAAACAGTAACAAGGAGTAGGAAATACAAAACACTGGCTGGAAAAAAAAATATCTTTAGCAAAAAGGACTATGTGAGAAAATACCCACTAAACAAGACATAGAAAATGAAACAAGAAACTAATGGCTAATTGAATTAGCATTCCAAAAAGTGGCATTAGGTCCTAAGAGGTGGCTCTGTTGGTGGAGGCACCAGGCTACTTGAGAGCCCACAGGGCAGGACAGAACCAACTGACTCTGAACGTGGTCCTCTGACATCCAAATGCTTGTCATGGCTTGTGTGTGTGTGTGCAAATGAATAAAAAATTAACACTAAAACCAAAATCCCATTTCATAATTAATTTAGCAAATGATTGAAAATATCCAAGCCAGTGAAGATGTAGAAACATAACATGTTGTTGGTACTTGCTGAATTTCCCACAGTCTTTGACAATGGGAACTGCTACATTCCAGTTTTTAAACAAAAAACAAAAAACATTATACCTTTAATGTCCTATTTCAGAACTTCTTGTGGAAGAAGTAATCCTCAAAACAGAAAAGACATATCTCAAGGATGGCAGTCCTATGTAATTTATAGTGTAAATTAGAAGTGCTTAATTGGCTAATACGGAAAGAATTATTTACTTGCTGGATTTTTGCAATGATTTTTTTTTTTTTTTAGTGAAATCATGAAATCTCTGTATCAATAGAAACAACTGATGTCAGATGAAAATAGAAAAAAAAATGGCGTTGAGGGTCAACAAGACTTTGAAAGAAAAATGAGGGTCTGTACGAGGATGAAGAATTCGCACGACTCTCCTTCCAGACAACCCTTGGCTTCTCAATCCTTGTGATTTCCATGAAAAGAATGCAGAGAAGACAGGCAGTTTGTAGTGCAGAAGACAGGGAGAGCTGATAGCCTGTGTTCATGGGGTGAGGGTGGGCCATGGTCAGAGCAACCATTGGTCCAATCTACCTTTTAGGCAGGCTTTATTTACTTCTAGTCTTTAGAAAAAAACAGTTTTCCTAAGGGCATCTTCCTTCCAGATGTTTGAGAGGCCCTTTGAGACTGATGGCAAGGAGTCAGACATGCCCCTCTCTTTGTCATAATGTGTCTTCTTGGAATTAAGTTTAGATAGCCAATTAATGACATTTAAAAGGGCAGTTCAGGAGTTACATCTCCTTTCAAGGCCAGATCTATCTCAGGGCTCATTCCTCTGACCAGTAATTAAGAATCCTGCAGTCCTTCCCTTTAGAAGCTACAGATTATATGGAATCACCGAGCCCCAATGTCTTCTGATCCTGGTAATATCCAACTAGCTACCTAACAAGGGGGCTAAGACAAACACTTGGAGCATTTCAGAGGTCCCCTATGGAAGGCTGCTGTCTTGTTCCTTGTCTTCTCCTAGACCCCCTGCTCAGAGGAAGCCCACAGGCTGCTCAGTTTTCAAGTTAGTAAGGGGAACAGGGGCTGTCTATGATATGAACTCAGTGGCTGGCTCTTTGTTCATCACCCCCTGGGGGGGGGGTGCAGCCTTGCCAGGCCACAGAGGAAGACAATGCAGCCAGTTCTGATGAGACCTGATAGGCTAGGGTCAGATAGAAGGGGAGGAGGACCTCCCCTATCAGTGGACTAGGGAAAGGGCATAGGGAGAGAAGAGGGAGGGTGGGTGGGACTACAAGAAGACGAGGGAGGGGGCTACAGCGGGGATACAAAGTGAATAAATTGAGGTAGATAGATAGATAGATAGATAGATAGATAGATAGATAGATAGATAGATGAATAGATGGATGGATGGATGGATAGACAGACCCTTGGAGCAAAATTCAATGTAGGGATAAAAACAAACAAAAGTCTGGAAAACTAGAAGAAAAGAACCTTAATAATCAAGGTTTCTTGTTTTTGTTTTGTTTTTTAAAGGCAGAATTAATATGAGAAGATTTAAAATGGAAACAACTTCAAAAATTTAAATTAATAGGATCTAACCTTCTATCTGTATCACCCCGAGTGTCTCACTTTCTAATTCACATCCAAGGATTCTCTCTGCTCAGTATTGTTACGTGAATGATCATCGATAAGAGTGCATTGATTCTTAATGTTTGAAAGAACAGTTGCGGTAAAACACAGTTTCTAAATTGGCGTCCCTTAAAATTTGCACCTCCGCATTCTACCCCAACTTCTTCCACATTTGGTCCTATGTAAAACCACAGAACTGATCTGTATCAGGCAGGCAGTGGTTATATATGTATTTTAAAACTTAAATGAGTATGTTTCTCTGGGTTTCCCCATGCTTTGGAGAAGTGGCCTGGGTGGTGGGAGCGTCGGACGACAGCCTCACCATGAAGCGCAGGTTAGCCCCTCTGGGGAAGACGTGGCCTCGGAGCTCATTATGGAGATTGACATACTCATTGATAAAGTCTACATCCTCTTCGTGCGGCAGAAGGCTGGCATTCAAACCAGAGCCCAGCAGCAGAAGCCACAGCTCGCACAGCCACAGCTCCAGCACACGCCCTGGGATCAGGGAATGCGACCGAGCTCTGCACGCCACAGACGGACGCACACCGGGCTTCATGGCCGCTCAGCAAGGACAAACCAGTGCACATGCGCCAGCCAGCCGCTGCCCATGCCAATCTACGGGTCGGCAGAGGGCTCTTAAGTGGAAGGCGAAGGAGGGGTGAGAAGCGGGCAGGGAGAGAAATTTATGATAAATGTCTTCTGAGAGACCAAAGTCAGATGGCAGTTAAACGAGCACGTGTTTTCTGCAAGGCTAGTTGAGCACTAGAGTTGATGTCTGACACTGAGGGGCGTGGCTTCATTTACTGATCAAACATGGTTTGTACCACAAGTGTTGAAGGATTAACAAATCTGAGATACCTTGGAAGGGGAAATCATTATTCTTCCCGTGTTGCTGGCGAATATCCGGCTCACTTTTATTTATTTATTTTTTTCTTATCAGTTGAGTTGTGTGTTTTTTATTGCTGTCGCTCTTAGGGACAGAACAGTCTAAGATTTATCCAAAAATATCTAAGAAGTGTTGTTAAAAATTATCTTCTATTTACGTGACGAAAAGCAATAAGCCTACACAAGATGAGTTGAGTCGTGCCTTTATTCTTTCAGTGCTTATTGCGAGGCAGCATATTAAATGGTTGAGAAAGACCGGTAGACAAGACATAGTCCTTTCTCTCAAAGGTCAATAAGGCAATTCTGTATCTTGAAGATATTTTGACACTTGAACGGGGTCCATTTATTATACATTGCCCGTCTAGGACTGGCGATGGTCATATCCTCTGACCAATTATATAGGAAATTCCTGAGTAGCTCATTTTATTACTGGACATCTAATTTTTTTTGATAAATATTTCTTTAATACTTCTTATATGATAGAGGCCACAATGCTATAAAAGCTGAGCGAAGTAGAAATGAGTCTATCCAGTGCTATAAATAATTTATTAAGCAGTGAACTACAATGCAGTTGTGAATATTTTTTAAAAAAATTATCTCACTAAACTGGTCTATCATTATTTTAAATAGTTGGAAAATATGAACTTATTCAGATAATAACCTTATGAAATACTTATCATTTGTATCTCCTCAAACAGATGGAAAATCATTTGGGGAGAGGTCAAGCAGTTTGTCTAAAGCAATGTTGCCGTTAAATCTTGAAGGTAATTTTTCTTTTTATTTAGGTATTTGAAAAAAGATGGGCCCCTTAAGAGGAAATCTGTAGGTTGAGAAGTACAGATAATGTGGGATGTGATCAGTGTCCTCACAAAACGTGAAGCTTTCTCCATCATCAGTGTCCTTTGGGACCAGCCTGGGCTACACAGCAAGTTCAGACTAGCTCAGGCTACACAGAAAGACTATCTCAAAGCAACAAAACAAAACAAAACAAAACAAAACAAAACAAAAAAAAAAACAACCACACTTCCATTAACCATCCTTTGTGTACTACCAAAAAGAAAAAACAAAACAAAACAAAACACAAGTCTGTATATTTGTTATAATAGATGAGGCCACAGTGTCACTTTACTGTCCAGATTTCACACTTCCCATTAAGATTCATTTTGGATGCAGTAGAGTCTGAGGATTTAGGCACATGTATAATGATTCCTCATTACATATTATCTACCATTAAAATCAATAATTTTCATGCTACACAGAGGAGTTCCAGTGTCAGAAATTTCTCCATGCAATCCATATGTTGTTCCCTCCAACATCTTGGTGTTTTTTCTACTCTTTACAATTTGCCTTTTCATGAATGTTGTACAGTTGAAGTCATGCACCATGTAAGTTGGTCACATTTATGGCAGTGTCACACTTAAATTTCTTCCATGTCTTTTAATGGTTTGACAGCTCATTTCTTCTTAACAGAGTAATATTCCATTTTCTCAATGTAAAAAGTTATTTCTTTATCCTTTGAGGGAATGGCATGTTGTTTACTTCCAAGTTTGGGCAGTTATAAACTGAGCTACTAGAAACATTGGTTTGAAGATTTTTGTATGGAAATTATTTTCAACTCTCTTGCTCGTAATGCAAAGGAATATACTGACTGATGATATGGTAGGAGTGTGATCAGATTATAAAATATATTACATATACTATACATATATTACAGATGATATATCATGATAATTATATATAGTCATTATTACTGCTTATGTGTCTGTGTGTTTGGGCCATGGTACAGGCACCCATGTTTAGGTCAGAGGACAACTTTGCAGTGCTGTTTCTACTTTTCTACCCTTGTGTGAGTTGGAATTCAAGTCACCAGGCTTGCTTTCAGGTCACCAAGCTTTCATAACATTTTGACCCGATGACCTATTTCACAGGTTCCATGCTCACTTTTATAAAAACAAATCCAAAACCCAAACCCAAAAACAAAACAAAACAAAAAAAACCTGTGTGTACTGCTTTCCGTTTGCATTCCTGCTGCTTCTCATAATCTGTTCACATTTGGTACTGTCAACTTTTGGAGGCTTTTAGTAGGGGTATAGAGTCGTTACACTTAGTCTTCTTCAATCATTTTTTAATTAAATTTTTATTTTTTACATTAATTACATTTTATTCGCTTTGTATCCCAGCTGTAACCCCCTCCCTCATTTCCTCCTAATCCCACCCTCCCTCCCTATCTCCTCCCTGCCCCTCTCCAAGTCCACTGATAGGGGAGGTCCTCCTCCCCTTCCATCTGATCATAGCTCATCAGGTCTCATCAGGACTGGCTGTAATGTCCTCCTCTGTGGCCTGGCAAAGCTGCTCCCCCCATGTCAGAAAATGCTAACTTTAGAGTGAGCTAGTTTTAGAAAGCAAAGGACAACAATGTGTAAATAGTCTCTGAGAAAGCATCTATGAAAAACACATTCTCTCTACTGTATTGTTCATAATTATTAGATAAAGGAACAATTAGATTTTATTCATAATTATTAGATACAGAGACAATCAGACTTTAATGTTGAGTCTAGCACTTTCCCGCTCTAGGATCTTGGGTAAATGCTTTACTTAATTATAAACAAGGTGTTAGATAAGTAGCTATTCTCCCAGACATATTAGTGGAACTTGATATGATAAAGCATCAGGACCGTTACCTCCAAACTGGAAGTGATGTGAGCCCCTCTTAGTTTACTATCTTAGTATAGTTACCAGAATCACCTAATTCCGGCTCTGACCTGGCTCTCTACTAGCATAATGATTTCCTGTCTTGCCTTTACTCTGTCACTTCTCTTCAACTTCAGCTATGTATGTGACTAGTGACATGAATAGTTATTATTCTTTTAAAACTTGCTTTTTAAAAGTCATTTTTAAAATCCAGCACTGAAAACAGTGCTATTCAATGAATATTTGTTGGCTGAATGAAAAGGTAAAGACTTCCACAGATTTACTTATTTTATTTTTGTATCCATGAATATACATGAAGAGAAAATCTTCAGCAGGAAGAAACATTCTGTTAGTGTGAAGGAGGGAAAATCAATACATGTAACCTATATCTTAGGTGTACTATGCACATACATATTAAATCCTTAAAAACAAAAAACAAAAAAAGTTATTCTTCCTTACTCTGATGATTTAAACGTACAGTACCTTTTTATATGCTTTTTTCCCCTTACTATGGCTGCTAAGGCTTTTGACCCATTTTTATTTCTAATGGGTTTATTTAGTATTAATTCTTGAGATTAAAGAGCTGTTTGCATGTTTTGCATAGCAGTCACTCATCAGGTATGTTTTTGAAAGTATTTTTCCTGCCCTTTTTTTTTTTTTTGTCAGCAGCTTCTGAGTCTTCAAGTTTCAGTGGAGTCTGTTTTATTAACTTGGTCTTCTCTGTCATAGATCATGCCTTTGGTGCTGTATGCAAAAATTCATTGCCAAATAGAGTTGAGAAGTACTTTTTTTGCTTTTTGTCTCCTACAAATGATTGTAGAGCACCATTATAATAGGATTCCTTTTTCGTTTTGTTTTGTTTTGTTGTTTTTCAAGACAGGCTCTCCCTATGTATCCCCGTCCTGAAACTCACTCTGTAGATCAGGCTTGCTTAAATTCAGCTGCCTTTGCCTATGTATAATAGCACTCTTAAATGTTTGTTAAATTTTACTTGTGAATTTATGTGGGCCTGACTGATGCTTTTTATTTCATTGATAATTTTTTCAATTTATTTAAAAAGCATATGCCTATTCAGTTTTTGTTTCTTCTTGTATGAGTTTAATTTGGCTACTAAAATGTTATGAGAATTATAAAAATTTAAGCCAGGCATGGTGGTGCATGCCTTTCATAGCTCTCTGGGAGGCAGAGGCAAGCAGATCTCTATGAGTTCAAGGTCAACCTGGTCTACAAAGTGAGTACAGGACAGGCAAAGCAACACAGAGAAACACTGTTTCAAAAAAAAAAAACAAACAAAAAATTATAAATATTAAAAATAAAGTTTTATGTACATTTAAATGAGAACAAAGAATAAAGCTAAAAATACGCAAAGGTGTGATTTTGTTCACTGCCTTGATCTTTGAGTATACTGTAATTTTTGTGCTTTTTTTCTCAGCCTTTCCTGTTCCTTTGTGTGTGTGTTGTGTCCGTGTGTGTGGATGTATATGTGCGGTGCATGTGTGTTGACCCGAGGGTGACGTGGACTGCCTTCCTGGATCGCTCCCCACGTTCTATGTTGAGACAGGATCTTTTAATTGAGTGCCTATCTTGCTGATTGCAGGTTAGCTAGCCAGCCTGCTACAAGAAGCCTTTGTCTCTCCTCCCCACATAGTGGTATTAGGCCACTACTCCAGACCCCACGGGTGCTGAGGGTCTGAACGTTGGTCTTGACAGGTGCACATACGCACAAATAGACACACACACATGTGCATTATCAGTAAACAACCTTAAAAAATAAAAACGCGACTTTATTCCCATTTCTTCACTAATATATAATAAACATTATTATTAACTATACGTTTACATATTTCAGAGTATAAAAACAGAGTATATAATATATTATAATTATATATTTATATATCATATATCCTCTTTGAATTAAAAAATAGACATTAAATTTAGATTTCAGGCAAAAAATACAGAAAATACAATAGAGAACTAAACAGGTAGAGTTTCAATTAAAAAAATAGTCTTTTATTATAGTATTCAAAAATTTCTTCTGAGTAGAAAAATCAATTACAGTATTCTCTGAAGAGTAAAAGCTAGCACAGATAGTTGGCATGCTCTCTGCTGAGGGGCCCTTGCAGGCGTATGATCTGTCAACAAAGCACAATGATTAAAAGCTTACTTTGATTTCAAAAAAGAACAAAAACAAAAACAAAACTAATATACTTGTATATGTCCCGTCATGTACAATTTATGAAGCTTTAATGAAAGAAAGGAAAAACTACATAAAATGAAAAATATTGATTTGTTTTTCTGGGTTTTAAAATAAGGTAATAAACTTTGAAAAGGCTCTTAAACTTAAAATAAAAAAAACCTTTCAAATCTTATTGTATTTAAAATCTTTACAAGGCTGTCTGTCAATGGTGTCATGCCAGTACGTATTTCTAGAATGCCTCTTGTGTTAAATGCATAAATATCTAAAATAGGTAAAAATGCAAAAACAAAAACAAAAAAAACCCCTGTATTTTGGCACCCAACCATGTCTGCTTTAAGTCTCAGAGGAAAATTCAATTCTTTTATGTGGAGTTTTATAAACAATCTTCATTGCTGTAGTGGCACTTGCCCCAAATTCATCATTCCTACACCTAAAATTTCTCCTCAGTTTTGAATTTTAACAGGATCTTGTGTGTTAGAAACTCATTTTTTTTTTGTTTGCTTCCTATCCCTATTCACTAATGCATTAATCATTCACTTCCTAACTTGTACCATGAATTTAGTCTTTGGACATAATGGTTATCAGAAAAAGGAAAACAGTGAAGGGAAAGCTATAATTAATGTTTTTGAAAGATTTATTTATTTATGTACATGGGTACTTGAGTGTATGTACATCTGTACATAAGAAGAGGATGTCAGATCCCATGGGACTACAGGTATAGACAGTTATGAGCTGCCGCGTGGGTACTGGGGATTGAACTCAGGACCTGTGGAAGAACAGCCAGTGCTCTTAACCACTGTGCCATCTCTACAGGTGGCATTAATTTTTAAATGGAATGAAAAAAGGAATAAAAGTGGTCATTTGAGGATTATAAGTACTATGAAAAATACACATCAGACCAACAGAATATAATGAGGGACTTCCAATAACAGCTAAAATTTGATTCCTTTGCTTTGTGTGATTTATCATATCTAATCCCCTTATCACCTCTCAAGTTAAGTTGTATGACCCTAGCATCCACATATTTAAACATCAGCAATATTCTTATCTTTTTAAAGAAGTAGTAAACCGAGATAAAAAGTTTATTAATAAAGGCTGGCCAATAGAAAAAGAAAAGAACAAATGTCAGAAGTCACAGTGCTCAGATGGATTATAACTACAAACAAAACAGTTAAAAACTGGAGCATCACATAATCATTAAATAAATTAACTCAGTAGCTAACACATATATAACACATACGTAATAAGAACAAAGTGGTTTTATAGAGACTGTCTCCCAAATAATAAAATAAATAAATAAATAAATAAACAAAATAAATGAGAGTCCACATTGTGTACATTGACACCTCAGTACATATTACTACCTGGAAGCCGAAGTCATTAAAGAAGAACAAAGATGGAAAACTATATAGTAATTATAACCCTTAAATTAAATGAAAAAAATATAAAGAAAATATCCATAAGCATCTAGTCATTTATTAAGGAAACTTCATGACCAAATTGGGTTTGTCATAGAGAAGAAATAATCCAGTGTTGGATCATTGACATATCATAACTCTTAGCATTTATAAATTTTTACAGTGTGGTAGTGCTGTAATAGAAATTCTTTGAAGTAGTTGACAACATCAGTCTACCCATGAAAACATAGAATCCTTTTAGAAGATGTGTGTGTGGGAGGTTAAATTAATTCTCCATTTGAGTTAAAATCTTAGAAAAAAAAGAGTATTTCTTTCAACCCTCCAGAAGGCCAAATTAAAAACAATCTGAAACATATTATATATAATGTTGAAATATTGTTGTCGTTAGAGTCAGGAACAAGAGAAGTTGTCTACTATCACAGTGTTAATTTCAGCACTGTAGGAAGTAGAGCTGTCTATTGCTATCAGCAATATAAAACTTCAAGTCACGTGTGTGAGAAAGAAACTGGTAGGAATGAGAGCCTTTTATCGGAAAGATAAGAAAATGTGTGTATGTGTGTAATCAGAATGGATTATATAGAAGTATGAAACTTTCAAACAGCAAATACAATCAATAAAAAGCTGATGATGAAAGAGAAACATTTTTTATCACAATTAATTTGGATGGAGACAGACTAGTATTTACTTCTGAATGAGCCCTGTTAAATGACAGTTGTTAGAAGATATGCAAATAAACATTCCAATTAATAGCCTGAGCACAGCAGAAAATTAGACCACAGATGTACTTAATTTCTTTTTGTTTTCTTACTTGGAAAAGGAAATATCTGGGAAGGGAAAATCATCTGAACCTAATATATTTATATATAATTTGTAATAAATGCTTTTTATATTCTTATAGAAGCAACCAAATCATCTAGAAATTAAGAACTGAGGGACCACGTTTAAAACTAGAATGGTATGACTGCATCATTACTGTCTAATGCTGTCTTTTCTCTTTTGCTTACGGCAGAGCTTGTTGATGCAGTCATTGAAATCGCACTGAGTGCAGGGTTCTCCTTTGATGTAAGGTCTGCTGCCCTGGATATTTCCTCTGCAAAACCAGAGAACACTCATTAGCCAATGCTGCTATTTAAAACTATTTTACAGATGTGTATGCAAGCTGTTTCTCTTTTCCACTAACTCACAAATGTTAAGAAGAAAGAAAAACAATGCCTGCTGTTCAATTGAAGGCTAATTTCCTATATACTAAGAAGTCATTAAAACCTGGAATGAAAACAAAAACATGTTTATATAATATAACTGACTTTTTAAAGACACCAAAACTTTCCACCACAGTAACCCATTGTGAGAAATGAATCTACAGAAGGCTCATTTCCTATGTACTAAGAAACCATTAATACTTTTCTTTTAATTTTAAATTTTATTTTGCATTATTTAATTCTTTTATTTTAATTTTTTTTCATTTAAAATTTACCCTCCTCCATTGCTGGTGGGAATGTCAACCGGTACAACCACTATGGAAAAAAAAATAATCTGGTGCTATCTCAAGATCCAGCTATTATCACTCCTAGGCATATATCCAAAAGATGTTCAAGTACACAACAAGGACATTTGCTCAACCATGTTTGTAGCAGCTTTATTCGTAATAGCCAGAACCTGGAAACAACCCAGATGTCCATCAATGGAGGAATGGATATAGAAATTTTGGTACTTTTACATAATGGAATACTACTCAGCAATTAAAAACAAGGAAATCATGAATTTTGCAGGCAAATGGTGGAATCTAGAAAAAATCATCTTGAGTGAGGTATCCCAAAAGCAGAAAGACACACATGGTATATACTCATTTATATAGACCTATAAGATAGTATATACATACTAAAATATGTACAACTAAAGAAGATAAACAAGAAAGAGGTCCAGGGGTAAGATGATCAATCCTCATCAAGAAAGACAAAGGGGATGGACATTGGAAATAGGAGAAAACAAGTAACAGGACAGTAGCCTACCACAGAAGGCACCTGAAAGACTCTATCTAGCAGTGTATCAAAGCAGATGCTGAGACCCATAACCAAATCTTCGGCAGAGTGTAGGGAATCATAGGAAGGAAGGAGGAATTAGTATATCCTAGAGGGGACAGGGAGCCCCACAAGGTTCAAATATATCTGAGCACAGGGGTCTTCTATGAGACTGTTTATCCAACCAAGGACTATGCATGGATATAACCTACAACCCCTGCTCAGACATAGCCCATGGTAGCTCAGTATCCAATTGGGTTCCCTAGTAAGGGGGACAGGATTGTTTCTGACATGAACTCATGAGCTTCCCCTCCCCCGTGAAGAAGGATCAGCCTTGCTAGGCCACAATAAGGACATTGCAACCATCCTGAAGATACCTGATAAGCTAGGGCCAGACAGGAGGAGAGGAGGACACTCCCTTTCAGTGGACTCGGAAGGGGGCAGGGAAGAGATGAGGGAGGGAAGGGAGGACTGGGAGGGAAAGAGGGAGAGGGCTACAGCTGGGATACAAGTGAATGTATAAAATTATTTAAAAATAAAAAAGAAAAATATTTTATAATTGGTTGCTGAAATAATAATGAGTAATGGGTTACTGAAAACATAAAAACAAAGATTGACACGTGACAGTGTATGTAGCATGTAAAACTCAATGTATTCACTATATAGTACTTGACAGAAAAATATTTCTAATATTAGCTATAATGTTTACTATGAGCTTTCATAGGTGTCTCTTATATAATAAGATATTTCCTTGTATTTTGGATTTTCTGAGATATATTTTAAAAGTGTGTGTGTGTGTATGTGTGTGTGTTTCTACGCATGTGAGTGCAGGTGTTCAGAGACATAGGTCTCTCTGTGAGCTCAGTAGTTCTCAATCTGTGGATCATGACCCTCAATCCATATGGGTCAAATATCAGATATCCTGAACATTAGATATTCACATTTTGATTCATAGCAGTAACGAAATAACAGCTATGAAGTAGCAACAACATAATTTTATGGTTGGAGGTCACACTTCACAAGGAATTGTATTAATAGGTCTCAGCATTAGGAAGGCTGAGAGCCATTGTTCTAGATGAGGTTGGTGCTGGGAATCGAATCAAACTCAGATCTTTTCAAGAGTAGTCTGAGCTCTTAACTGCTGAGCTGTCTTTCCTGTTGAGGGTTCCTATAGGTGTTAAAAGATATTAAATATGAGTCTTTGTCAAAACCCATAAAACTTGTGTTTATAACAAGGAATTCAAATCGTTTTATCTCCCCCACTTTGCAAGATTTTTATGCAAATATCTTAATCTCTCCAACAGGCAGTAAAAAGCATTTTTTTACACAAAGGCCACTGCTGTATTCCAAGGACTTGATGACCTAGTGCAGTTACCCTTTTCCTCTGGGTGTAGTAACCTTTTTACTCTTCCTTCTTCATTTCTTATGCACCAATTCTTTCAAGACTAGCCAACCAATCAGGTAAGGCTGTGAGCTTGGACCTCAGCCAATAAAGAGAAACATAATTATCACCTGACTTAGAAGAAAAACCAAATGCACTTCTTCTATGTTCCTCATTTCAGCACATCCTCTCAATTAAGAGTTAAGTTTGCTTGCCCAAACACCATTTATAGTGGTGATTTCTTTCTTTGTCACCCTGAGCTTATCTCTTCTTCCTCTTCTTCTTCTTCTCCTTCTTCTTCTTCTCCTTCTTCTTCTTCTTCTTCTTCTTCTTCTTCTTCTTCTTCTTCTTCTTCTTCTTCTTCTTCTTCTTCCTCTTCTTCTTCTTCCTCTTCTTCTTCTTTCTTCTTCTTCTTCTTCTTCTTCTTCTTCTTCTT